AGTGTAAAGTATAATAGACCCCCATGAACTTTTAGCGTTTTGCACTAAACCCCCTTTCAAAATCACAACCCCCCCAATAACTTTTCTGTTTTGCAGAAAATCCCCTATAAGTTTCTGCATTTTGTAGATACACCCCATAAATTAGAACTAAAAAACAACATAAAAGGATATTTTAAAAGTTATTAGGGGCTTAGTGTAATCTACCCAAAAGATATTGGGGGTTATATGCGGAAGTTATTGGAGGGTTAGTGCGATTTGAAAGTTCATAGCATTTTATTGTAAAAACACTGAAAGTTCATGGGGTTTCAGTGTAGTTTACCCTTAAAAAATTTTCTGGTATTTGTCATGTCTACATTAAGGATTCAGGCGTGATATATGAATAGAGTGGTGTTAGGGGCACACCCCCTACCACACCACCCCCCCCCAACCACCCCCCCCCTCTCCCATCGCTACAGTAAACCGGGCCTCACATGGGATTTTAAAATTTTTAAAATCCCATGTGAGGCCCGGTTTACTGTAGCGATGGGAGAGGGGGGTGTGGTTGGTGGTGTGTTAGGGGGTGTGCTCCTAACATTATTTATATGAATATGAGGTGAAAAATCATTCGACACTTCCTCACGGGGATGCATACAAATCTGTGATTTATTACATTTTCCAAATATTGGTCAAGATGAGCAGTGGTGGTGCCAGTAATTTCAGTAAGGGGGGGTGCAAGAGGTAATTAAACACTATAATATATAAATTTTTCAGCACATAATTGATTAGCAGCTAAATATCATTACATAACAAGACTTTTTCAAAATCATATTTCAATTTAGAATATAGTACTTATAATTGTATTATTCTCATTTTCATTTCTTGAACCCACTTCATGACACCTTCCTCGTCAAATGTTGCAAAATATATCCTTTCGATATAAGGTACAAAAGCAATTATCACGTATTCATCTCCTATTTGTTTCGAACGTCATTCCTAATAACTTTTATTATTAAAAATGCTCTTGTAACCCTTGCCATTGCAAAATGACAATTATTAGTGCCAACTTTACTAGCTTGAACACCAAAGGTAGATAAGTGTCCATCTTCCATTGAACCAAGTCTTCATTAAACAGGTTAATTATGGATAAGTTCCATGCATCATCACCTAGTTGCAGATAGACCCATTTAGTTATAATTCTGCGGACATACCCTCTAAATGAATTTTTTTTACTTTTAAAACAATCAAAAAGTTTTATAAAGACAAATAGACTTGTAGTTTTATTGTCACGGATAGACACCTCAATTACTAAATTTCTTAACACTTAAACGTGTAAAAAAAAAATTCATTGAATGGTTCTCTCCTTACTTGGGAAAATACTACAAGGGGTGTATCTGCATAATTAGAACTATTGTGAGTCTTTTTGCAACTGGGCAATACTACGTACAAGGGGTTTATCACAATTAACTCTTATTACATCTTAAAGTTGCATATTTGCATCACTATTAACAGTGGCGTAGAGCTACAGAGGAAAATGCAATTGCAAGGGTTTCCTTAAATTACACATCCATGCATTATACTCCCTCAAAAATAATTATTAGCTAGCGATAGTGTTAGGTTTTGTTTCATATCCCAAAGAGTGGCAAAGGCCCATTTGGCCCTAGCATGGCTCCGACCCTGAACTTGAGGAGCCATCTTAATCGTCTAGGTGTCGTTTGGTAAAGAGTTAAGTGAGAGGTTAAGGAAACTTAACCCCTTCTTAACTCGTCAAACACAAAAAATCTATATGGGGTTAAAGTGAGTTAACTCTCTATAATTTGTCAAACACAAAATATATAGAAAAGTTAAGCTAACCCCTTTAGAGGGATTAAAATGAGTTATCCCCTCAAAATGAGGGGTTTACTAGTACTCATATTTAGAAGGATTAAGAGCTAAACTATCTAATTATAAAGAAAATAGTCAAAATCCTTATTATTCACGAACATTAAAAAAGATCATAAAGATTAAAATAAAACTTATATAACAAGTTAATAACTTAGTCATTAGGATTATCGAATGAACTCATTATATTAATCATTCTCCTTAATCTCTTTTCATTTACCCTTCCCAAGTGGCACCCTTTAGGGTCTAGCTAGTCGTCGCATGTCACAATTCGAGTATATAAAACACATCTGAATACAACGAAAACCCAAAATAATACCCACGATCGTTCGATTGTACAAAGGACTCATCAAATCAAGAAGATGCGGAAGAGGGAGAACCAAATCGTACGTAGCTACCTCCTTCCATGTAAAACTATGATCACCTTCTCCTCCCGAGTCCATATCCATGGCCATGGCCATGATTCGACGGATTCCCTTCGAACAACTCGTTGATTTTGTTCTCGATATCCTCCGGCCCAAACTTGACGTGCTTCTCCGCTTGCCTCCCGCTCAAATTCTGCCTGTACTTGCCAAGAAACGACCACCGCCGTTATCGACACCCTCAGCTCCGACTTCAGCTGCTCATCGCACACTACCCAGTTACTCTGGTTCTTGTGTATCTCCTCAAACATGGCATTGAAACTCTTCATTTTCTCCTTCAGCGCTGGCTTCAACATGCTCCCCTTCAGCCCTTCGTCTTTGAAGCATGCCAGAGCTTTCGACCACGTCTCCCTCTGGTAGCTCTTGTGGTACTGCCTCATCTCCGACGATCTCTTTCGGTACCAATTGTCTCCTACGACCTCGTGAATCTCCGCCGACTCCTTGATCTTCTTGATGATGTACCTCCCGTTGTTCATCAAGAATACGTAGTTCAGTGCCAGCTCCCTGTACAGTTTGGACTTGGTTTCTAGGTTTGAATCCAGCAGCTCCATGACGCCGATTATCTGTGCTGCGAACGGCGTGTGCTCCGCCGCCTTGGCCGTCGGTGATTTCGCATCCGCAGCTTGGTGGTCCTCAGCGAAGACTTGCTCAAGTGTGGCTTTGTACTCGCAGGCGTATTTGAGATAGTTCATAACGTAACTAGTGAGGGGATGAACTGCGCCCCCGGGGACAGGAGATTTCGCTGCGTCGGCCCTGATCGAGTTTTCGAGATCGGAGAACATGGCGACGGCCGACTCCCCGAGCCTGGGGACCCCCGTGCTGCCATCTCTACTTGAGATCGGGCGCCTCGTCTGTTGCCAGGGGAAAAGCCACGTCCATCTCTAGGCCAGCATGTCTGTGAGGCCTCGTACATGCTCGCAGAAACTTGAAGAGCTTCTTCGCGGAGCCTTCGTTAAAGCGACGCCCTACGCGAAGTTTAGGAGGTGATGAGGACGCCTCGTAGCGAGGTTGTTGAAGAGGTCTACGCGCGATGAGCCGCCGTGCTGAGAGAAGATCGGACTCGCATAGGCCGCGTTCTCACGGGCGAAGAAGAACGAGATTGAACTGGCGAAGCGACTGCGACCAGTGTGCTGATCCCCAACAGGCTTTTGCAGCGACTCATTGCGTCTTTATTGATTCGTCGACGCTGATGCTGTTGGGAAGCCGATGCTGATAAGCCTTCCTCGAAGCGTTGTGTCGACGCGGATAGCTGTAAGCATTCGAGCCCCGTAGCCTGCGAGATCATCGCGTCGGCGCTCCTGTGAAGCCTGCCGATGATTTCCGGCGGGAACGGGGGAGGGCTAATCTCGTCCTCACAACCATTCGGGTCCTTCGGTGCTGACGGAGAGAAGGTGCTGGAGGAGTCGGAATCTTGAGACCAATGGGGTGGCTTGCGCGACGCGGAAGCGGGAACCTTGATCCTGGAATCCTCCAGGAGGAGCCTGAATTGCTCTTCGAGGAAGGTCATGGCGCGTTGGAGGACGGAGCTTGAGTGGTCGGCGGCGTTCCTGTAATCGTCGTTTGAAGAGGAGAAGGCGGAGAGCGCGGTGGAGAGCTTGTCGACGCGATCAACGGCGTCGAGAAGGGAGACGAACCATTTGTCGCTCTTGTTTTCGAATTCGCATTTGGTCAGATCGAGTTCCACGGTGGACAGTAATTTGTCGATGGAGGATTGAGGAATGTGAGGACGGAGCTTGAGTGGTCGGCGGCGTTCCTGTAATCGTCGTTTGAAGAGGAGAAGGCGGAGAGCGCGGTGGAGAGCTTGTCGACGCGATCAACGGCGTCGAGAAGGGAGACGAACCATTTGTCGCTCTTGTTTTCGAATTCGCATTTGGTCAGATCGAGTTCCACGGTGGACAGTAATTTGTCGATGGAGGATTGAGGAATGTCGGGGGGATGCTGGTCGTTGTTATTATGATCATGGTCGTTTTGTTTGAGGCTGAGGAGGATGGCGAGGAAGCAGTCGACGTCGTCGGAGATCCTTGCATTCTCTACGTCCTCCTCCGCCGTCGAAGTTGCCTTTTCCTTATCCTCTTTGCTTTCCCCTCCTCCTTGTTTGTCGCTGGATTTTTTAGCATCTCCGGACTCATTGTTCGCACCTGCAGATCCATGGTTTGATGTCATGTTTTGTGCAAGTTTCGAAACGGAGAAATGAAGAGATTTTGATTCGGATAAAAACGAAAGAGGGGGAGAATTTTAGGATTCGGTGATGAGAGGAAATGGGGGATTGAAACGGTCGTTGATCCCAAAAATATCAAAATTGGGAAGGAGCAGAGAGTTTGGGCTTGGTACCCACATCGTTATTTTCGGTTAGTTTGCGCGGTTGACGTTACCCGTCTCTATTGACGAAAACGCCCTTCGCAATCCAGTAATTGACGGGGAGCGCCTTCATACCTTCACGTATTCAAACCCTGCGTATTTCCCTTGTTGTGTCCGACTAGGAACAGACATGGGTTGTTTGTGTGGTATGAATCCTCTCCTCATGGTGATTCCAAGAAGAAATCCCAACAATTCTCTTCTCCTGCTCTCCTCTTACACAGACCGTGACATTTCTTTTGCAAGCTGCCGATCGAAGCGAGCGTCGTTCGCAGCCTCCTCCTCTTCAGTTTCCATGGCTGAAGCTCCACCTGCTTCTTGCAGTCCCACTCTCAGGGATATTTGTAGAGGAAAAGTTCCAGAGCACATAATAAAGAGGTGACCATCTAATTCTATCTTTGCTAATTATGCCGCTTGCCCTGAAGCTGTTTGTGGAAATGCCCCATGGAATCATCTGAGAGCATTGTTAATCTTATGTAGAGCTGAAGAAATTGGATATGTTGTGCCTACTGATGTTCAACAACAATCTCTGCCGGTTTTACTATCAGGGCGGGATTGCGTACTTCATGCACAGGTTACTTACTGCTTTTTGAAATGGTTCTGTTCTAGTTCGGACCTGTATACTAGTTTCTGCAAGCTGTCACTGAGTATGGAAGTTAGCTCAGATAAGATTCAATTCTATTTTCTCCGGGAACAGTCGTGGTATATACGTTTGAATGCTTTCATTTTTCCATATATATATTAATATCAACATCTACAGATGCTTTATTCTGTATGACATTACAATAAGAAAAGTCAGCATTGTGCATAAATGAACAGAACTGGGATAAATCAATGTCTATACTGATATAAAAAGAAGGGTAGATTACACCCCCATGAACTTTCAGCATTTTGCAGTAAACCCCGAATAACTTTCAAAATCACACTAACCCAACTAAAAAAAATCACACAAAACCCCCAAGAACTTTAAAAATGACACAAAACCCCCAAGAACTTTCAAAATCACACTAAGCCCCTAATAACTTTTGGAATTGCAGAAAAGTCCCAATAAGTTTCCGCATTTTGCAGATAATCCCCACACATTGGAGCAAAAAAAACATAATAAGGCATTAAAGGAGAAGTACAGTAAAAAAATAGAATAACAATTAGGGTTCGGGACCCAACCTGTGTGCGTATGAGAGGAAAACGAATGACAAAAAAAATGAGAGATCTCTGTTTTCATGGTTGAAAATATAAATAGATTGTGAGAGTTTTATTAATAATTTAAGGAGTACTTTGGTCTTTCAAGTCATGCGGGTTGCACGTGCTACGTCAGATGTAACGGTGTTAACTCTAGGGCTTTCTGCGGAAGTAATTAGCGTTTTAATGTTACTTTGAAAATTTTTGAGCAATGTGATTTTTGAAAGTTCTTGGGGTGTTTAGTGCGATTTTGAAAGTTATCGAGGGTTTACTACAAAATGCTAAAAGTTCATGGGGGTTTAGTGTAATTTACCCTAAAAAATGTTATTGTTCATCCAAAAAAAAACATTAAGGGTTTTTTTAAATGGTAATTAAGGCTTGAATAGTTCCTTACTCTCCATAGTTTAACCACCCATCATTTACTATTTTCTTGGCATATGATGCTGCATAGGCGGAAGCCGCGGTACCCAGTAGTAGGCTTATCTACATGGAAACTAACTTGAGACATATTAATACCTTGGCATGAACTTGTAACTTATTCTGCTACACTATTGTCTTCCCTAGACAGGTTCAGGCAAAACGTTGGCATACTTATTGTCAGTATTTTCGGCGACTAACATTCAGAGGTCTGCTGTTCAAGCACTGATAGTAGTACCAAATAGGGAACTTGGGATGCAAGTAAGTTGTGCCCCTTTCCTATGTCTTATCGTGATCGTGATACCTGGATTACAAATTTTCATGATTTCCTTGTGTTCTTGTTCTACTTTCAAGGTTACAAAAGTTGCTAGGATGCTTTCAGCAAAGCCAGTGGGCTTCGAGTTTACGCAAAAAACATGTACTGTGATGGCTCTGTTAGATGGTGGAATGTTAAAGCGGCATAAGAGCTGGCTAAAGGTATGTTCTGAACTTACCATTTTGTATTTAATATGTTTTCGTTGTTTGATTCCGTGTATCATATCTTCCGCTAAACAGCTGAAATTAAAAATGCTTGTTTTTGTCATAAAAAATAGTTTTTAGTATTTTGTCTTTCCTTTCATTGCCAAATTGTTTTTGGTTATGCATGTTTTCTCATTACCTTTTTCTTTTCAGGCTGAGCCTCCTGAAATAGTGGTTGCTACTATTGCAAGCTTGACTCAGATGATTGAGAAGAATGTGTTTAAGCTTGATACATTGCGTGTTCTGGTAATTGATGAGGTAATCATATTGCAGCCACCTTATACACCTTTCCTTTTCTTTTTTTTTTGTTCTTGATAATGGTTAAAGTCCCAAAGGAAACTAGTACAACAGTTGAGGGAACACTTCTCTTGACTTGCAAACAAAACATGCATCCATGCCATGGCATGCACACCTACAACAACTCATGTAAGGCTTGGTACACAACTATTGAGCTTCAAGGATTCCAACTCCCAAAACAGCCTATGATAAGCCATAGTGGATGACATATTATACACGTCTTCACATGGTGAGTGTAGGCATGAGATCTACTGAGATATGGTAGAGAGAGAGGTGGTCAAAATTCTGATAAAATGCTGGTGATAGATGGGGTAAAAAAAGAGTTTGGCAAATGAATTTGGTCATTGAAACCTGTATCAGGGGTATCTCATGGGATACATAATATGATTACACACGTTATTCTCATAATTATCCTGTATACATACATTTGTCTGCACTTCTCCTATCGCCTTTTTTTCAAACTTTATACAGTCATTAATATATCCTGGGTAAAACTTGAACATGAGCCAAGGTAACTCCCAGCCTCATGTATAAATGAAAAAAAGGAGTGTAGAAAAAACTAAAGAAAGGTCTAGAATCAAATTGTAACAAAAAAATATCTTAACACATCAAACAAGTGAAGAAGATAAATCTTGCTTGAGCAGCAATACCTGCATAACAAAATAAAGACAGAAATTATGATCCCAGTGTGCTTTCTCTGGTTCTTGACTTCTTCCCAGGTTCTCCCTCCTTTAAATAAACTAAATGGTATTGCATTCTTGTACATGCATTTATAGACAATTTTCATAAAGTCAAGTAGTTATTTATTTTCTTTGGAAGTTAAGTCTAACATTCTTGATAGTTTAAAAACAATTACCATGTTTCCTGATTTGCACTATTTTCGATACTGCTGCTATTTATTTGCAAATGCACCAATTTTCTCCATTTCAGGTTGATTTTATCTTTAGCTCATCGAAACAAGTATACTCTCTTAGAAAGCTGTTGACATCATACTCGACTATCCATACACGTCAGACCGTTTTTGCTAGTGCATCTATTCCCCAACACAACCGATTTCTTTACGACTGCGTGCAACAGAAATGGACCAAGGTATTCAGATGTTTGTGGTTTTCTAATGTTTCTGTATAGAGTTTGATTCCAGTAAAGGGGTTTCATTTTTGCTTTTACCTGTAGTGGGTTTTCGCCAGCCTAATTTTTATATGCTCTTTCTTTTTATGTACATAGAATGATGTGGTCCACATTCATGTGAATCCCATTGAGCCAATGCCTTCACGCTTGAGTCACAATTTTGTGGTGAGACATTTCAGAATTTATGATGTTTCTTGTTTTGAATGTCATAATCCTTATCTTCAATAATTTCTCATGCCTCTCTCTTTTTTACTTTTCATATTATACATATGCTCTTTGTTTAAGGAGAAATCAGACAAATCTTTCCGTTCACATTGAAGTTTTATTGATACAGCATCTTTACTTTCTACATTTTACAGGTTTGCAATAAGAAAGAAAGATTGCATATCTTGCTGTCCTTGCTTCAAAGAGATGCACCAAAATCAGGGATAATTTTTGTTGGAGTACAGGTTTTGTCCCTCAGTTCTCTTTGTTACCTGTTCTATTTGATATTGCCATGTGCCTAACATTTTGTTCACTAATTATGGTAGTCAGAGAAGTCTAAAAAGGCTGGGAAGCCTCCTTCAACAACCCTTGTCATTGAATATCTGAGAGAATCCTATAATGGCGGCCTGGAGGCCCTCCTGCTTGAAGAAAACATGAATTTTAACGCACGAGCAACATCACTATCGGTAAGTTTCTGTTTTAGGAACCAATTTACTGTAATAATACAGTCCAAGTTAAGCTGCATTTATTCTCTATCTATATATTGTTGGAGACTTCCCAATTTGTAAACAGCTTGCTACGTTGTAGTAATTGGTATCAAATTATGAATGAATATAATTTCCTTCCTTTTCTGTTTATCATTGTTGTTTCTTCTTCTTTTTTTTAATGTGGAAATCATTGAATTATTCTTAGGAGAATCAACTTAGTCAATAAGCTCATCTAACGTTGCCATTTAGTATGAATTCTTGTTTACTTAGTTTTAAACTCGTGAGTGCAGGACGTGAGACAAGGAGGCTGCCTATTAGTGGCGACAGACTTGGCAGGCAGAGGTTTCGACCTGCCAGAGACAACACATGTATATAATTTTGATCTCCCGAGGACAGCAGTCGACTATCTTCATCGTGCAGGGAGGACAGGACGGATGCCTTTCTCCAACGACAGGTGCAGCGTCACAAGTCTCATCACCCCCGAGGAGCGTTTTGTGTTGCAGAGGTTTGAGAATGAGCTTATGTTTGAATGTGAGGAGCTGTTATTAGATTCTTTTGCTCTATGACAATCTGTTGTTATCTTCTTGGATGTGCCTGAAATAGCTAAATGAAAGAATAGAAGCGAGTTATGAGTGGTTGATGATCTCTGTAATGTGCTTGTCTACTATCTATTTTGGTCGCTGGCAAGAGAAATTGTTGGGATTGAAACTATAATGAAGAATGCAGTTGGATTTGTATTTCTTGATGTGGTAGAGTTCTAATCGACGATAAATTGAATGGAGTTGAGCCTGTAAGATTTGATCTGCATCGAGATGTGAGCTATGTTATAAGTTGCCGAAAGTATTTGGTCTGACATATCTTTTATGGTAGTTCAAATGCATAGAACATCGTTTTGCTTGAACAACTAATGTTGTAATTACAACTACAGCGGATGGAGAACGGACATATGCTTCAAAACTGAGATCTTAAATCCTCTTATCTTCGTCGATCAAACTAATCTAGGCACTGAAGGAGGGCACGAAAAGACGTAATAATGAACTCACAAAATAATCATTTCGCCTTATCTATGCCAGATCTTTCAATTCTCAACAACAGCAGAACAAATTTAAATAACCAACATCCTGTCCTGATCAACGTACAGAAAAACGGATTTACAGTTTAGGCACCGCAAGAATCACCTTTTCTGCTGAGCCCCAGCGCGAAAAGCTACAGAACCTTATTCAATTCTTATAAGGGTAAGCTACCTCTGACAAAAGAGGGCAAGAAAACTAGTGATTTGAGCATAAGTTGAAGCAAAGGATTACATTCAAATAACTTGTCCGTGTAGAGTAGCAAAAGACTGTAGCTAATGTTTGCTGTTCATGGCTCGCTAACGGATCGCTAACTTATTATAGGGAAATGCAGGATGTTGAGAAACAAAAGAAGAAAACTGACGTTTCGCTGTCTCAAAGAGAAGATCAGATTAGATACGGTCCAGGATTACCTCTCCACCAGAAACCTTGAATTCGGAAGGAACTTTCTCAACACTAAGAACTTCGATCTTTCCATACACAACACGGGCTGGTCACCTGCAAAATAATCAAAATTATTAAGCATTCTGGTTTATATACTCGTACTCTAAGATGGCGTAATGACATAATGATATGAAACCAAACAATATACAATCATGAAAATGTTGACCATAATTTTAAACCTTGCTCTTCCCTCAGGTTAAAAATTTATAAACGAGATAGTTAAAAAACATTTTCCTTCCAAGGCCTTTGTCTAAATTTATCAAATTCTCATGAGAAAAGTTTCAACAAGCAAATGAAATATTTACCCATAGAGGAGTTTCTTCTCAAATTTACTATATCCCATCTAAATTTATCATATTCTTGTAAGAAAAATTTCAACTGACAAATAAAATATTTACTCCTATAGGAGTATCTTGCCAATGCCAAATTTATCAGATGCGATCAGCCAACTTGGATAAGCTACAGAACATCATGGGATCATCCAGGAGAATCAATTTTGAATGTGCCATGTAACTATAATTCAGTAGAGAAGAACAACTCGCCCAAACACTAGCCAATGTCATTCTAACTTATACCATACTAAACATACCAAAGTCCCATGCTAACGTTATTTGAGAGCTTTTATCATTCTATCAAGATCTTCAAATAACGATTCAGGTGATTAATAAAAAAATCAACTCTTTTAAACTTTATATCATAAACATATACTGCTTACTATTATCGATATTCAGTATTCGAGATACTATCTAAGACTACAGATTCTCGATGAAAAGAATCTGAAAATACGTACAACTAGAGGTCATGTTTTCTATTCCTCTATATGTATCCGTTACTAGTTACTGCTTTAGCTTAATAGTATGGCACATGCAGATTTAGATACACTAGTATGTTCTGATGCAGATTTAGATACCTCTAGACATAGCTATATGAACATTTCTGAACATGAAACTACAATACCAAGCAACAACCAGCACTGGAGAGAAACGCTCATAATTTCCAAATGGGAAAGAAAAGGGACAAAATTCTCCCGCCCATACTGCCTTTCTGGATCGATGCAACCCTCATGGACCAACTCCATCCATTCCATCCTCTCTCCTCATCTGCTCTATCAAATTCAATTCAAATTCAAATATAAACCAATTTTTGATTCACGTGCGCACATGCGCAGACCCTCTCATGTGAAAATTAAAAATTAGATTCCCTTATCTCTGTCACATAAACAAATTTAAATTGACATTCTCAATTTAATATGGGAATCTCTCCATTTAAGATGCAACTAATCTTAATTCCTACCGCATTCAATGATATCTGAATGCTAATTTTTCATGCCATACGAAAATATGATATTGCTGTTGGTTTCTTAGCCTCAAAGCTACATTTACCAGCCTTTTCTTCTTCTGGAGAGGAAGTTGCTTTAACATCTCATAAGTATGCAAGGACTATGATAGTCATTTCTAGCATATTAACAAACTTAGTACTTTAATATACCTTATTTTTACCTTTTTCAGTAGAACATGTATCTTATGAAGAATTTCTCTGCATACATAGTAATTCAACCAACTTTCCATTGTTCTTTTATGTCCATGTATTACTCCACAGGCACGTATTTTCAACTAATAAAATTTAATGCCTTTAAACCTTTACAAAGTTTTTATGCAACCAAAAATTTGGTAAGATAACCGGAATGAACAATCACAACAATTTAATGTCATTGATTTTACCGGAGAGATGAATAATGTATAAAATTATGGGGAGATCGAGGTTGTATCACATTGTATGCATAACTAAAACAGGTAATGCATCAGAAATTGATGACATAAATATGCAGTCTGTTAGTTTATTATGGAATAGAGATGCATGTTGTGAACTTAGTGTCATGAAAATACACAGATTAGCAAAAGAAGGAAACCGATAACATAATAGAAAAGGATAACCGATTTGTTACTGAGTGTACCTTTGGGAACGATGTCCAAGCAATGCAGCAGAAAGATCCAAATCCGAATCCATACTCTGCCATCAAAATCACCAACAAATTCAATCTGAAAGGTTTAATATGATGTTATGCATAACCAGTGATGCATAAATTCTTTGGGATAATATGCATTACAGGAACCATGCCCATTGTGGAGGTTAATGAAGCTTTACACATAGGGAGAGAGGGAGGGAACAAATAGCCATAATCTACAAGAGACATTGATTAAGCTGGAGCCTGCAAATATGTTCCTACAAGTTTCAAATCCACCTAACTTAGGTGATCATGATAGCACGTTTTTTCCGTCCACTATAACAAGGGAATTCAAGATTTATTTTTGTTATTTTAGTTTCATGTTAAAGAATAGCGCTAAGCCATTGACATTTGCTTTACATACCAGACACTATCTAAAATTCAAGTGTGATCAACATTCCGATTCACAAAGCATAGATAGGCATGGGGTTTTATTTAAGATCTTCCCTTCAATCTATTGTCGGAGATAACTGGAAAGAAAATGAAACATCGTACACTATTCTAAATTCAAAAAACTAGAAAACATCGTGTTTTTCAATTCGTTGGTCATAGAGTACATACAAATGAAAACCAAATATCCTTCCTACTTTGCAATGATAAATTCCCTGTGACTTTTGTTTGTGCATAATGCTTGGTTGAGTCATCTTCAAGTTAAAACTCCTATACTCCAATGCAGCTTCAATCCATCTTATGCACATATAGATACATTTCTACGCTGACTTGCATGATGGAAATAAATTGCATACAGGGGGCTGGTGTCCAATATAACAAAATCAGGCTTCTACGAAGCTACATACTTACACCCAAGCCTAAAGTAGAACAATAGTTCCACAAACAAAATCTTCATTTGTTCCTTTCGATAAATACTCTAAAAATGGTAAATCTTGGAATGGACAGTAGTAGTAAAGAGGATTGAATGATGACATAGCTATAACTAATTGTAGATTATACACACATTAAGGTTAACTGGGAAGGTACTGCCTGCTTCCTTTGCTTGCAATTTTTTGGCCCAGCCATTCATGACATATGAATCATTCACGACCACGCAGATCACAGAATCAATGCCCTTAGCTTTAAATTTGTCGATATTGTTCTTGTAGCTAGGGACATGTTGCGTTGAGCAAACACCAGCGTATATTCCCTGGGCAAATTATGTATTCATTCGGTAAATGCAGCAACTGAGGCAAACCAATATGGTTAACAGCAACTGACCACTGCAACACTGGATCCACTGGAAGAACCTCCATGTACTTGATCACGTGCAATGGGGTTAGTGGGTGTTCCATAATGGTAAGGTACCAGTAGGCCAATTCATCCATGACAGTTTTACCGAGGCAAGTGGCGCCAGCTTCAAGAAGTGCCATAACAGCAGGGGCTGTCGATTTGGCTGGTTCATGGGTCTTAGCCCAGTCTGGATTCCTGAACCCCGTCACATAACCACTGAATCTAATCACCAAAATCAATTCACACGTTAAGAAGAAGAAGAAGGGGGCAAAAAAAAAAAAAAAGAGGATATTTTTGAATGAACGTGAGATGAAGAGAAGAACCCACATATCTTTGACGGCAGGGGTGAGGCCTTGTAAAGGTAATGGAGGGTCACGTGGAGAAATAGGTAGAGGCTTGAGTTCAAATCTTTGGATGAAGGCTCCATACTCTCTTCTTCACTTTCATCTCCCATCATATTCCCTATTCTTCCTCTCTGGTTTCGGCAGCTTAGCTATTTGGATATATAGGCTCTCTCTTGCTGACCACTTGTCGTCATCCATCGTCATCAAGAAGATAGAATAGTAAACTATTTATGATCAATAAAACATTTTCAAATTAATAAAGCGTTAGAAATTGTAGAAAGAGTCAATATAATCATTTACAATTCATTTATGGAAGGCAAAATAATCAGCCAGAGATCTGACACAGATATCTTCAACTCCATTCAGAAAATACATTTTCACAAAATGAACAAAAGTCCAGTTACATGAAAAACTGTCGCTGAGTATGATACAGTAGGAGTACAAACTTCTCTTCTATGTTTTACATGCTTACAACACTGAAAGGGCATTTAGGAAGCACACTAAGCCCAAAAAACTTCATGATTCCCTACCGCCCTATATTATGCAAGAAAGCTCAATGAAAGAGATAGACTTTGTACTCTCCTCAATTCTTTCTCTCAGTATAAACGAATAACTAAGATTAACAATCCATTTTCCATACAGTTCTAGCTTGCTCTCTCATAGTAGCATAAAGAGAATCAGCAAGATTGAGAAGAAAATGATCTGCTCCATGTTTTGCCACTAGTGAAATTGAAACTGGAAGATTATTATGCATACCAAGTGGAATCGTAACCTGTAAAATAGTGAAATATTATAATATCATGCAAGACTGGTGGAACCGTAACCTGTGAAATAGCAAAATATTATAATATCATGCAACACAAGTTATTTTATTTTGATTTGAAGAATTTAAAACTCTGAATCACAATTAATATATTTAAGTACCTGGCAAAACCCAGACATTCCCGCAATTGAGAGCAGGCAAAATGCTTTAGCTCGAAAATTTTCCAGTGTAACAGCCTCCGTGTTGACTTTAGGCGGAGGACCAGGAAGAGTAGGGATTGCAAGCACCCCATAATTCTTCAAAAAGTAAATTTTGGAGAAAAGAAGGAAACATAAGAATGAATATAACAGTAAAAATCTATGAACAATGAACCAACACAGAAGGAGAGTTCAAGTGCTTGAGATAAGTAAGACGAAGAATAGAAAGCTATGAGTCTATGACATTACCATACAAAAAGTTGATTTTTGGAATTAGAGGTATAAAGTAAATGATCTAATCAATATCCTTATAATACAAATTATTTGAACATCTGATCAAGAACAAGACTGAAGCAGAATAGCAGTTTTACATGCGTTCCTTTCACAAGATATATGCATGTGCCTTTCATGGAATCATTAACTACATTGATCTATGTGAGGTTAAAATTCCATACCTCAGAAAACTGAATTTTGCAATCACATTTTTGATCTGTTCTTCATCCTAGGTCTGTGGTTAGGCTAAATAAGATGTTGGTGAACCTACTGATCAAATGGTAACTTCTCTAGAGAAACAGACACTTAGTTTCAGAAAGTATGAAAAAGCAGAGATATCCATGATGAAATAAACATGAAAGAGTTATTAGCAAAGGATAAGAATAAGAGCTACCTCTAGAAGAGCAGTCAAGGCAACCTGAAGCTCACTCTTCAATGTCCTGTAGCACTCTATATTTTCATCTGTTGCATTAACAGCTTCTGCAATTCTTTCTGAAATTCCAGGCCCAAATTTCGGTTTTGTTGTATTAATCCATTCTCCATGATTTTCTTTGAACTCAAACCTATATGTATGGCATAATGTTTTTAGAAACAATAGTATCATGGGAATTAAATCACATGCAGAATGGCATTGACAACCACAAGAAATAAATAAAAGAAGAGTACAAAATTGCTAGTAATATAATAGTACACCAAGGATAATCATGTTAATCCTATAAGGCTATAACGAGCAACTAGACAATATCACTTGCAGGTAATTTATGGAAACAAATTTCACACCTTTGGATTGACCGCATGGCATATGATACAGCTCCAAGAGCTGGTATGGTAGAAGCTTGGCTTTCTGAGAGTTTACTTATGATAGTTCTTGAGCTTGGAACTTCATTATAAACATAGTTGCCAAGATTTTGACGCTTTATTCTGTCACCTGCAGAAACTATTATTAGCACGATTCATATCCTGAGGAATGTGCAACACTTAGGGTTTGAACCTGTGCATTCAGAAGCTGTAACTTCCTCTTTACAATTCTACCAAGATCGTCTCACCAAAAAACACCATCTCTTTGTTTATTAGTAGAATGTCATAATATAAAACACCAGACCAAACATATAATTAAAAAGAGTGAAAAAAAGCACTTACACCCATACATATTTTCCAAAGAACTAATGAGGATCTGAGAAAGTTGGTCGCTTGGAGAAACTAAAAGCTGGAAACAATCTTCAGGAATAATTACATGAGTAGGCTGTTGCATAGCTTCGATAGGTGACGGCAACAATACACGCGCAACAAGAGCTAAGGTAGAAGGATCTCTCGCAAACCATCCTAGAAAAGTTGTGACAAATAACATCAGGATCAAACTAGAGAAGATGTGAATCTAAGTCATGGATTTTCATAGAATTAACGAAGATGAGAAATTATTGTCCATCTAGATCTCATCCCTAAATTTGTTGTCTTTAATCGGTGCGTCCACTTGAGAATTAAGCAACAATACTGCATTTAACAGAGCGAAAAGTAAAATTGACTAATAATCATCGAAACATGCTGGATTCTTAAGTACAAAGTTGAAAGAAAAAAAAGATGCAACTCACATTAGTATAAATATGAAAGTTATGAGTCTTATGAGTAAAGTGAGATATTTCTTTTTACACTACGAAGATATCCACTATAGATAAGATGATATATTTGATAATCTTGCTTTATTGACTATTAAAATTAGAGAATCACACATGTCCATGTGTCATTTTGAATCTGTTGAACATATGTTAATGAAAAATAGAGAGGCCAATACAAACATCGAGTAAAAGTTCAAAGATAAGTATATCCAAATTTCTCTTCAAAGCTGATTAAGATGTTGGATTATCCTACTTCTCTAAAGAAGTGCATTGATCAAGGATGTAACTTATAATGTTATTACCAACGGTATCAAAGCTCTCAGCCATAGGGATGACTCCACTGGAAGATACAGCGCCATGTGAAGGCCGGATACCAAAAATTCCACAATATGCTGCAGGAACCCTTACACTTCCCCCAGTATCAGTACCTGTTAAAAGAATATAACACAATTGAAAATTGACATAATCCTCATGAAGTCTCTTTCTCCCCCATTAGATGGGATCGGATAACAAACAACACCATCTCAAAAAGCACCTCAGGAATTGTTGAAGTTTTTGTGACAAGTAAATAACTTGAAGCCAACCCTCAACATATTGGTGGCAAGTTCATAGGTAAGACAACTATGATCAAGTGAATGTTTATTCCAGTACCGATAAGATTATTGCTGAATTATATTGTGTATAATGAGAATAAGAAAAAGGGACTCTTATCATCCTCAATAAACTATAAAATTCTTGTTATTTGTTTATATTTTAGTGAATTGGTTATATAGGAAAATAACTTGTAGGATCTTTTAGACAAGGAAAACTCATGACAATTCAAGAAACTTTCCAGTGATTTAACGTCTCGACTCGTATTCAGTCATGCACAAAAACTGTTACATATTTACAAAATAATAATCATAAATCCACACTTCACTTCAAACTAGGATTTAAAAAGGGGGGGAAACCGTTGTGTCAATCCAAGATTCAGCTCATAAAGTAGATGCTGAAACATTAAACTACAACATACAACCCTCACTTAAACTTTGAAATTATTTGTAACTTCTATTAAAGGGGCTTTAATTAAAAAAACAATGGATATGACAAAATGGTAAATAAACTCAAATTAGATAAAGAGATAATCGATCACCTAGAGAGAAATCAACGAGCCCAGCTGCAACCGCCACAGCTGATCCACTGGAAGACCCTCCTGGCACTCGACCCGGTGCAACAGGGTTAGGGGGCGTCCCATAATGGAAGTTCTCTCCATTAATGCTGCAAAGATTAAAAGTTTGGGGTTGCTCAGATCTACGAAATTGCTCATTAGCTCCTTAAATCCTAGGGTTATTGCTATTTGGTCTCTCATCCGCCAAAATACCATCAGCTAATAATTTTTTGAAGGGTTATTTGCGATTTTGCACTCTAAAGCTTACATCTCTTCTAAGTTTTGATACCCCAAAGTTCTTTTGACGGACAAATTTTCAAAACCAACCCCTTTCAACATTTAATCCCAAAAACCAACCTCTTTTGCACTTAATTTTAAAAACCGACCTGGTTTCAGCCCTGGCGCTGAAACCAGGTTGGTTTTTGACAATAAAATTTAGAAACTTTACGGGAGTTGAACTCCCGTGATGTTTTAGCAGATTGTTAACAATCTGCTAAAACATCACTGGAGTTCAACTCCCATGGAGTTTTATTGATTAAACAAACTTCACGGGAGTTGAACTCCCGTGAAGTTGTATTTGTTGAACAAACTTCACGGGAGTTCAACTCCCGTGAAGTTTGTAACATGTCAGTCCAATTTTCAGAGAGCTAACTCTCGGAAAAATTTTGACTGTAACTCCACGGGAGTTCAACTCCCGTGGAGTTGTAGACGCCTATTTAAGGCCCAGCCCCGTGAAATCATCACCCAACCCGCACCCCTCCTCACCCATTCCCAAACCGAAAACTCTAACCCTCTCTTCACTGTTCCCCACCGCTCCCCACCGCTATCGCCGAAGTTCCCGCCGTCCCCGGTCATCATCCTCACCGAAGTCATCACCTAACCCGCACCCCTCTCTGACCCGTTCCCAAACCGAAACCCTAACCCTCTTTCCCCACCACCACTAACTCCGTCGTCGCCGGTCCCCACCGTCGTCGCTGAAGTCCCCCCCGCTGGCGGTCATCATCCTCACCAGAGTAGATCGTTCTCGCCGCCGTCATCACCGAAGATCATCGGAAATTAGGAAAAATTTAAGGTAAAATCTTTTAAAAAAAAATTCCTCCTAAATTCTTATATAGTCTCACTATATCATGATGATTACTTGGAAAAATTAGATTTTAGAAATTACTTGTGAATTATTTGGGAAGATTGTGAAGAAAATTTAAATAATTTTGTGTATTTAGAGGGGAAATTATCAAAAAATGTAAATGTTAGTGTTACTACATATGTTTGATATTGATATATGAATTTAGTTAAAATTATGGGTTCTTAAAATTGATAAGATAGGATTTAATGGTAAGTAACATTTTTTTAAAGTTTTTTCGTGTAATATTAATCGTGAATTTTTTACTCTTCAGAGGTAATGATGAACGATCGAATCGTAATTCTTTGTTCATATGATGGGAAGATTAACTATCTCGAAAATAATATGCCCGTTTATGAAGGAGGTGTGACGAGACCGTTGTTTATAATAAAATCGTGTACTTTTGATGAATTGGTTAATGAATTACACAAACTTACATTAACCAACTCACATGAGTATCACCTCAATGTTATTTGTAATTATCCTGTTGCGGGGAATAGAACAAACGACATTCAAATATCAAGTGACTATGATATGGGTCTTATTAGAGTGTTACACGGTGAGGGGCGTTCGGTTGAATTGTTCATTAAAAAACATCAGAAGAATTTGGGCAAATCGTTGAATAACGATGGAATGTACTCCCGCATGTTGGAGGACCTTGAAGTTGACTCCGTCGGCTTTTTATCTCCGCAATAAGATGAAGGTTGGACACAATCACAATACATGAGCAGTCATTCGATGGTAGGCATTTCAAATGCTTTCGATACTAATACGGCCCATCAAGAAGATAATGCAAGTGTCGAATCCGAGAATGATGATGAAGATGACGGTTTACAAATTAATAGTATGGCGATGATAGATTGCGATGAAGGGGACAACCAGCACATTGATAGATGTTATACTAATAATAAGTATGTTGTCTTAGAGGATCTACCACCCGATGAACTTCAAGGAGAATGGATTGATAACTCCATGATGAAAAATGTTTCTATTAGCACTAATAGCGGTGATGCTACACAGGACGAGGACTTCTCATTCATGAAGGGGGATCTTTTTGAAAGTAAGGAGAAATTGATTTATGCGCTTCGCTCGTATGCCATTGCCAAAAATATCAAGTTTAGGCCAACAAAAAATAACACAACAAGCTATTATGTGATTTGTTTTTATCGTAAAGATGGTGAAGACGAAGATAATGGTGGACACCATGATGGCAATGCGAAATGTCCTTGGAAGTTTAATTCACGTTCGAGTGTAAGAGTAGGTGGGCATTTCAAAATCACGGCATACAACGGACTCAACACATGTAGCAATCCTCGATTGGAGATAAATAAAAAGTATGCGTCCTCTTCTTTTATATATCGATTGATTTTACCGTATCTAAGGGAGGATCTTGATCTAAGGGCAAAAGATATTCGTCTTTTAGTGCATAAAACAACCAACTTAGATGTATCATATAACAAGTGTTGGAATGCTAGGAGCACTGTTTTAAAAAACATCCGTTTAGTCCGCTTAGACGTACGCCTAGGCCTAGACGGTATCTAGGCCGCCTAACTAGCGCCTAGCGTCTAGACGATATTTAGACAGCTCATCTAGATTTTACGAGCGTTTAGAGGAACATTATCTGTTTACGTGGATTACACCCTGTAGGCATTGGTTGTGATTTTATGTGTTGTAGCCTACACGTCCTCCAAACTCCATTAACCTCCAAATATGAACACCTCCACTAGCTTCTCTGACCTTCAGTAAAACCTCATTGACCACCACTTAAATGAAGAAAAAAATCTGCCTAGACACCAGTCCGGCATCTAAGCTTTCTATAACATTAACATTCACTATCAATTATTATAATTAAAAATAAAAAAGAAAACATCTTAGACTCTAACATTGTTAATTATTATTTTAGCTATTTAGTATCTAGGTATGCAGATTTATTGTGGAACTAAGATTGCTATCTTTTTTTGAAAATTTATATAAATTAATACATATTTTTATCAATTATTATAATTAAATAATTTAAAAATAGTCAAACGTCTGGGCACACGTCCAGGGGTCTAGGCGCTAGGCGCTTGCTCAAACGTCTAGTCTGCCTAACGTCTTCTGCAATATTACCGAGCTCCCCCGATCTCTGTAACTACTAACAAGGTAAAAAATACTTCTTAAATATCTATTTAAGTTAGTTAACAACAGTAACTTAAACTTAAGAAGTGTAAGTTAACAGTAAACTTAAGTTTAAGTTTAAGTTAGACTTAAGTTTAAGCTAACAGTAAACTTAAGTTTAAGTTTAAGTTAATATTAAGTTTTTTGTTGATGGTACACTTAAGTTTAAGTAAACAGTAAACTTAAGTTAACAATATTTTAGTTAACAGTAAACTTAAGTTTAAGTTTATTATTAACTTAAACTTAACAGTAACTTATAAGTTAACAGTAATTTGAGTTGAAAATGAACTTTTCACTGTTGAGATGAACTTATAATTTGAGCTGAGAAGTATAAACATACAAAGAGCTATTGTAATTGGTAAACTAAACAATTTAGTTAATAGTATTGGTATTTTAGTATTTATGCATCTTTGATTGAGTATATATATATTTATCTTCAAGTATCACAATTAAAAAAATAAAAAAGAAAAAAACGCCCAGAAACCGCTGAAGCGCCCGCCTAGGTGACTAAACGCTGGGCGTCAAGTCCGACGCCTAGAAACGTTCAGCGTTTAACGTAACAATGGCTAGGAGGAAGACGATGATAAAAATATTCGGGGATTGAGACAAAACTTATGAGATCTTACCACATTATCTTGAAGCACTCAAAAAATAAAATCTTGGGACTGCCTATGAAGGCAATGTACCCAACTACAATGGATTCCTTGTTCACATGTTATCGCGACTTGTTCTGATCTACATGGTGGTGTGAGGATTTCACATTATGAGTTCATCACGAGTTGGTATTCTACTTACAACTATTAACAAATGTACAAAGAGTATTTTCGTCTACCATATGATAGTCGACATTGGACACAAGATGGGTCACAGATATTACCTCTTTTGTATAAAAGGTCGGCGGGGCGCCTTCGTACCATACGAATTAGAAATAGTATGGATGACGATCGTGAAGGAATTAGGAGGAGAAATAAGTGCAGTAGATGCGATCAATCGGGCCACAATAAAAAACAGTTGTCCAGCTAGGATTAGACGTTGATTTGTAATTTGTAGCATTTCGTACTGTGTTTGTTTTCGTATGACATTCGTAATTATAATTTGTAGCGTTTCGTACTATGTTTGGGATCTAATTTTAATGTTTGGTTTCAAATTATTCTTTCTTCACATTGCGCATTCATTTGTTGTAATATGTTTTTTATATATGACTAAGTCAGTCATTCAACTGAAATATCTAACACATTGTACATTGTCCTCTAATATTTTAATCTCTGATATATTCATTATGGATCCGAGACCGATACATCCCGATGTTTTGTACCTCCAGACGAGACATTGTTCAAACCATATTTGCTCAGGACAGGTAAAACGTTTTTGGTATATATATTCCTTAGCATTTGCACTAATTTTAATTTTTCTTAATATACTTAACCAATTTTGTTTGATGTGTAGCCCGTACCAGACATCACCATGGTCGATCATTCCCAGAGTCATTCGACTTGGGTCATTAAGGATGAGAGAGTACTACAGCTGACAGCTCAGGCTGGGTTTCAGGAGTGTTCGACAGTGCAATATATTAGGCTTGATTGGCCGCTTATCACCAAGGTTTTAAATGTCGCCCGACATGTCCGACATGTCGGCCGACATATCGGTTTGAGGGCTTGACCGACACGACATGGACGTTTTCAACTCGTATATCGGTTTTCAGGGCCAAATCGGAAATATCAGGGTCATATCAGGCATATCAACCTATTTTTTAGCTTTGAAAAATCGACCGATATAGTATTTTTTTTTAAGATCTGTTTTTTGTTATCGGGTTTGGGTTTAGTGATAAATACTCAAACTCGTTTGACCCGTTCTCATGTTTAAGGGTTTCTTATGAACCCGATAGAAAGAATTTATGAACCTAAATCCATATATTCTTTACTTTTTTATATGTTTAGTCTATAGAATTTATAAAGTATGTTTATATTGAATTTATGAATGCTTAGATTATATTTAAGACATGATATTATACATATACACACTACTCGATATGGCAATCCGATATTTAGTCAATGTCCCCCGATATATCCCCGATTTTCTTTATCCGATATGGATTTCAGCCATCCGACATGAACCCGACATCCGACATTTAAAACCTTGCTTATCACTGCACTGATTGAGAGGTGAAGGCCAGAGACCAACACTTTTCACAGGCATATAGGGGAGTGTATCATCACCTTACAGGACGTAACCGTCATATTTGGGCTCCGCATCGATGGCCTGACAGTTACGGACACCGATGACCATAATTGGGCTGAGGTATGTGTTAAGCTTCTTAGTCAGGTACCCGACTTGAGGAGTGGTGCGATAAAACTATGGTGGCTTCGTCAGACATTTCAGGGAGATATACCACCATATGCCTCCATTAAGACGCTTGAGTTTCAGGCTCGTGCATACATACTGCACATGATAGGGTGCATGCTATTTCCTGATGCAAGCAAGACTCTTGTACATGCACGATGACTGTCACTGCTGGAGGATTTTGGTGTATGCGACGCACTATCGTGGGGCAGTACGGTGTTGACGTACTTGTATAGAAAACTGGGTAGAGTATCCTTAATGGAGAATAAAGAATTCAAGGGATGCTGCACGTTGATCCAGATTTGGTCATGGGAGCACATTCATGTTAGCAGACCGACTTTGCTTATGCACCGTGACTTACAGAGACAGTTTCCTTTGGCATACAGGTATAATTGTCCACACAATTTTATTTAACTGAATTTGAACTCATATATTCTTTATGCCAAATAGGTATAACGTGTGGTACGCTAACTACAAATCAGCGACGCGACATCGTGAGTTTTACCGAAATGAGCTTGATGTCCTCCAACACGAAGAGGTAAATATAAAACTCGATGTTGTTATGAATATTATAGTTTTGTTGTTGATACTGATAAATATTTTATCTTATTTCAGTTCAAGTGGAGAGCCTATTCATCGCCGGAGCTCGATATGCATACTCTTGTACCTATCTGTCGAGATAGTCCCGACTTGTGAAGAGCCAGAGTTTCATTGATCTGTCAGGAGATTGTGGAGATGCATGTCCCCGACCATGTGCAACGGTAAGTTCTAATCTCTCAGCATGTATCAGAGCCTGTCGAGCATATCGATCGTCGACGACGACCTACATCGCATCGTACCGACTGGGCCGTAGTCCGTATGGCCTACATAGACAGGTGGACTCACATGTGGGATTTTATATAGGTTACAAGAGACACAGCTGTTGATTATACCGCGTATATGCGTTGGTATTGGGATATCACACGTAGATGGATCACGCGTGACCCACAACCATCAGCTGAACACATGTCACGTCCACCGACAGACAGTTACATCCCTAGTGGGATGATTGAGAGAGATTGTGTAAGTTTCTAAGATAAATTATAATATTTTTTATATAGATGGTACTTAATAAATTGTTTACCTCGTAGGTCCGTGCTTTTTGATAGCATTGAAGCTGATATTGATGCGCACATGCCTGAGATTCAGGATTCGATAGTGTCAGGGGTCTTCACCAGGATCAAGAAGACAATAGCACAGGTGTTTCATAAGACTCACGTTGATGAGTTTGCAGACCGTGAGGACATGTCTCGATCATTTGGGCAAGCGTACACGCGATGACGATGACCATGTGACGATGAAGTCGACACTTCGCATGCTGATGGAACCGGCATTTCGCATGCTAATGGACCCGACACTTCGCAACCTCATACACAGGGGGTGGAGAAGAGCGAGGGGGAGGGGGAAGAGAGGGAGAGGAAGGAGAGGATCTATTTTGGGTTATATGTGAGCTTATCTTGTTAAAATTTGTAACTTTTATAAATTTTCAAATACTATACTTTTGTGGATCAATTATTGTTATATATGTACTCTTTGTGAGTATTGTTTGATTCGTGTTTAATTCATGGTTGAATTATGTATATATTGTTGTAATTCAGTGTATATGAGATCTATCGTTAACAGGTAAATATAATGTATATGAGGTATGTTGCGTACAGAACATGCACAGGCTGTTGTGCATGGTTTGTGAAACCTGCAACTCCACGGGAGTTGAAGTAAAAAAAATTTGAGAGTTGGCTCTCTGAAAATTGGACTGAAAGTTTTTGGCATATTACAAACTTCCCGGATGTTGAACTCCCGTGAAGTTTGTTCAACAAACACAACTTCACGGGAGTTCAACTCCCGTAAAGTTTGTTTAACCAATAAAACTTCACGGGAGTTGATTCAACTCCCGTGAAGTTTTAGCAGATTGTTAAAAATATGCTAAACTTCACGGGAGTTCAACTCCCGTGTAGTTTCGAATTTTTTTTCTTCAAAAATCGACCTGGATTCAGTGTCAGAACTGAAACCAGGTCGGTTTGTGAAATTAAATGCAAAAGAGGTCGGTTTTTGGGATTAAATGTTGAAAGGGGTTGGTTTTGAAAATTTGTTCTTCTTTTGACACTTTAATACCCAGAGCGTACACTTTTCTTGACTTTATATCCCAAACTTTTTTTGACACTTTGATACCCAAAAGTTCATACATTTCCCAACGTATATACCCAAAAGTTTCCAAATCTTTTTAACTTTGACGCCTCGAAGTTCACATACTTCTAACTTCGATATCCTAAACTTTGGGGGTATCAAAGTGTCAAAAATAAAACTTTGGGGGTGCCGAAGTCGAGTCGATGATAGAAAGCGGACCTGTAGGCCAATTCATCCATGACCGTTTTGCCGAGACAAGTAGCGCCAGCTTCAAGAAGGGCCGCAACAGCGGGGGCTGTGGATTTGGCCGGTTCGTGGGTCCTGGCCCAGTCCGGGTTCCCGAACCCGGTGACGTGGCCGCTGACATCGAATCTGATCGCCGCCAAATATGCTAACGTTAGCAAAGGAGAAAAGAAAAAAAAAAGAGGAAAGGTTTGGGGAGGGGGAAAGAATGAAAGCCGAGAACGCACATATCTTTGACGGCGAAGGTGAGGCCCTGTAGCGGTAATAAGGGAGGGTCAGCCGGAGAAGTCGGAGGTTTGAGTTCAAATCTTTGGACGAAGGCTCCTTCGTACTCCTCTTCCATCTTTTAATCCCCCCTCCCTCTCTGCTATCGGCGGCAGCTTGGATTAGGCTCCCTGTCTCTTACACTTGGCTGACCACTAGTTTTACCTGCACTTATTGATTCTGCAACGTAGAGGGAGGATAACGGGCTGGACAAGTGCGGCCTAATTAATAAGCAGCTCTAGTTGAGGCCCAATTTAGAAATGGCCCAGTGTAATTCTTTACACGGTTATTTGCATATATATACCCCCCCTTACGTCATTGCTGTTGGAAAAAGTTGATAATAAATAATGATATAATAATATACTATACAATATTACAATCATTATAATATTATTAATTTTTATAAATGATATATACTAAATTAATAATTATGAAATGTTATGTAATAGTAATATGTTAGTAATAAAATAATAACACTATAATAATAAAGTAATAGGATATTATATAGTACGTGTAATGTAGTATATAAAATATTGATATATTTGTTGGTGCGGCTGGAGGTCACACAGTCAAATATGCATCTGTGATGGGACGAGATGATGATGGATGGATGAAGGGGCCGCTTTCTTCCCTGACTTTATGTCTAGTTCTTGAATTGGGGTATCTGCTCAGCCTGCACAGGAAAAGACTCGTGAGAGGCCGGGGTTTGCATCCCCCGTGGTACCTCCGACGATCAAGCCAGCTGGTGAACTTGAATGGGGTAAATAAGAACTATGAGAGTTCTTGTGCATGGCGATTGCTTAAGGATTAGATTTGGAAATCAAGATCTTTTTTGCAAGGTAGAATAATACTTGTATTTATACCTGTGGGGATGAGGGGTGGAACCGTCATTCTAGCCGAGCACAGGATGACGGTGAAGAAGCGTGTACTGGCAGTTACGTCATCACTTGCTGTACATGTGTCGGCTGGAGACTAGCTGCGTGATTGACGCTGACATGATGTTATGCGTGCCGCGCGAAGCACAACATGACCCAATAAGTCATGAAGACTGTCGGGGCAGAGGCATGATGATGCCTGACAAGCATTGATGCGATCTTGACACGTTGTCAGCGAGGATAAGCTCGAGGAAAAGGTTGTCCTCTGACTTGGCCAAGAAGTAACGTCTTTCGAGTCGGCTGCGTAAGGCGTCTGGCAAATGGTAGAGTGGACTCGTGGCGAGTCGTCTTCGACAAAAAGAGGGGTCGGCAAGTTTCCCCTTTCGAGTCGACATGAAGGAATGTCGAGTCGTAGAGTTGGCGGAGTGGCCGTTCGTGCTGGTCTCTGACCGTCAAATTGATTGGGGGATATCATGTAGCATACTTGTTCGTTACTTGACAATGAGCTTGTACTTTTAGCGAATGGGAACACCATAACAATATTATATAATAAATAATATAATATATAATAAAGTAAAATAATTTATTACCAATAAAGGTTAATGTGTAACATTAATATATTCATAATATAGTAATTTTTATTTATATAATAAACTACTACTATAATATTACAATATTATTATAAAGTTAGAAATTATAATATATTTATATAACGTTAAATACTTATAATATATTAATTTATTAATAACATACTAGTAATAACATAATAGCATATATATATATATATATATATATATATATATATATATTATATATATATATATTGATAATAGTATAATATATATATTAATAATAAATAATATTATTTTAAAAATTATATAATATATAACAATAGAAAATTGATATACGCAAAATAATTAAATATATTATTATTTAAAATAATACTTATTAATTATATTATAATGTAATTTATTAAGTTACAATATAATATTATAATATATTAACAATATTATATTGCATTATATTTAATATTAAGTAATACTGTAATAATATAAAGTAAATATTTATACAAATTTATTTAAAATATATTCTATTATAATTAATATATAATATATTAATAATATGTTTAATACTAATGTTGTAATGGATCAAACTATTGTTGACAAAAAGCACTCAACATAGTGACTTCGGAAACGCTTTAGGGAGAAAACACAACATCATCGTGTTTTTTTACAAAAACAAAAACACACCAAAGAAAACGCCATGACATCCAAATGAAGTCTTAGTTTTTAACCTTTGCAGAATGTTAGACAGGGAAGCTACGTTTTAGTGGCCACGGACTTCGCAAGCAACGGTTTCGACTTTATCTTCATCTCGTAGTCGTAGGGAGGACAGGGTGGATGCCTTTCTCCAATGAGAGGTGCAGTGTCACAAGTCTCATCACCTCCGAGGAGCATTTTGTGTTGCAGAGGTTTGAGAATGAGCTTATATTTGAATATGAGGAGCTGTTATTAGATTCTCTTGCTTTATGACAATTTTTCGTAATCTTCTTTGATGCGTCTGAAATAGCTAAAATGAAAGAACAAAAGCGAATTATGAAAGATTGATGATCTCGGTAAAATGCTTGTCTGCTATCTATTTTAGTCACTGGCAAGGGAAATTGCTGGGATTGGAACTACATTGAAGAATGCAGTTGGATTTGTATTTTTTTTATGCAGTGGAGTTCCAAATCGAGCGAAATTATGAATGGAGCTGTGTTTGTAAGATTTGATCCGCATTGAGACACAAGCTACGCTACAAGTTGCCGAAAGTACTTGACTCGCCATATCTTTTATGGTAGTTCAAATGCGTACGACCTCATCACTTTGCTCGAACAACTAATGTTGTAAAATCCGACCATAGCCGATGGAGAATGGACGAATGGTATATCGCTTGGAAAAATCATACTGCAATCAAAGTCTATACGACCTTCAATAGCAATACTTTTTAGAAATTTGGATTAACATCCAACTGCATCGATTAAGTTTGCAATCCATTTGATTGCCACTTCGACTTTGCTTTATAACGAACCAAACGATTTCTCATTTGCTATAGTTGAAGCCGCATACAACCTTGTCAAAGTGCACAGATGTTAAAAGACAATCAGCCTGTGGTAAGTCAGTCTAGAGCTACGAACAAAGCAAGCTCCCCAGTTGCTTGAACTAGGGAATAAACACGTAACTGTCTTGATCAACACACAAGAAAACGGATTTATAATTTCGGCGCCGCAAGAAAGAATCACCTTTTCTGCTGAGCTTCAGTGCGAAAAGCTACAGAACTTTTTTCAATTCTTATAATAAGGGTAGACTACAACTGACAAAAGAGGGGCAAGAAAACTAGAAATTTGGATGCAAAGGATTACATTCAAATAACACGCCCATGTCGAGTAGCAAAGAACCAAAGCTAATGTTTGTTGTCCATTGCTCACTAATGGACCGCTAACTTATTATAGGAAATGCAAGATGTTGAGAAACTGAACAAGTTAACTGATGTTTCGTAGTCTCCAAGAGAAGGTTAGATTAGATCTGGTCCAGGATTACCTCTCCACCAGAAACCTTGAATTCGGAAGGAACTTTCTCAACATTAAGAACTTTGATCTTTCCATCCACAACATAGGCTGACCACCTGCCAAATAATCAAAATTGTTAAGCATGCTGGTCTATGTAGTCATATCCTAATATAGTATAATACCATAATGATACCGAACCAGACAAGATACAATTATGAAGAAAGATGACCATAACTTTGTTCTTCCCTTGATTTAAAATTTTATAAACAAGGAAGCCAAATGTTTCCTTCTAAAGAAATGCCCTCAGTATAAATTTGTTTAGTCCTCGTGAGATAAGTTTCAATGAGCAAATGAAATATTTACTCCCAGAGGAGTTTCTTCTCAAACTTATCATATCCCCATCTAAATTTATCATTTTCTCATAAGAGTAATTTCAACTGACAAACAAGATATTTACTCCAATAGGAGGATCTTGTCAAATTTATCATGACATCGGTCAATTTGGGTAGGCTACAAAACATCACGGAATCGTCGAAGAGTAACAACGTTGAGAGCACAACGTAACTGTAATTCAGTAGAGAAGAATATCTTGCTCAAACACTATCCAATGTCATTTCAGCTTAATACCATATTAAACACACCAAAGTTCCATCCTAACAGTCATTTGAAAGCTTTTATCGTTCTATCAAGATCCTCATTATTCTATTAAAGTACATATAATCAGCAGGCAAGCAATGCTCTAATAATGATTCAGGTGATTAGTAACAAATCAACTATTTTAAACATTATATTAAAAACATATGCTGCTGACTATTATCAATATTGAGTATTCAAGTTTTAATATAGGACCGGAGATTCTTGATGAAAATACATGCCGCTCGAGGTCATGTTTTCTTTTCCCTGTACGTGTCCGTTAAAAGTTACTACTTTAGCTTAATAGTACGATACTTGTATGTACTAATGCAGGTTCTAGATAACTCTGGGCATAGCCAGCTGAACATTTCTGAACATGGAACTACGGTACCAAGCAACAACCACAACTGGACAGAAACACTCATAATTTCCAAATGGGGAAGAAAGGGACAACATTCTCCTGCCCATGCTGGGCATAGCCAGCTGAACATTTCTGAACATGGAACTACGGTACCAAGCAACAACCACAACTGGACAGAAACACTCATAATTTCCAAATGGGGAAGAAAGGGACAACATTCTCCTGCCCATGCTGCCTTTCTGGGCATCGATACAACCCCCATGGCCCAACTCCATCCCATCCTCTCTCCTCTATCAAATTCAATTCAAATTCAAATGTGAACCAATTCTGATTCGCACGCGCACGCGCACTTGAAAATTTACAATTAAAAATTAGATTCTCTCGACTCTGTCACACAAACAAATTTAATTTGATATTCACCACTTGAGATGCGACTAGTCTTAATTCCTACTGCATTCAATGATATCTGAGTGCTAATTTTTCATGCTGTATGAAAATATGATATTGTTGTTGGCTTCTTAGCCTGAAAGCTACATTTACCAGCTTTTTCTTCGTCTGGAGAGGAAGTTGCTTTAACAACTCATAAGTATGCAAGGACTATGATAGTCATTTCTAGCATATTAACTTGGTACTCTAATATACCTTGTAAAGAAGATCTTTTACCTTTTCCAATAGAATCTGCATCGTATGAAGAATTTTCCTGCGTACATAGTAATCAAACTGCAAAGGATTACATTCAAATAACACGCCCATGTCGAGTAGCAAAGAACCAAAGCTAATGTTTGTTGTCCATTGCTCACTAATGGACCGCTAACTTATTATAGGAAATGCAAGATGTTGAGAAACTGAACAAGTTAACTGATGTTTCGTAGTCTCCAAGAGAAGGTTAGATTAGATCTGGTCCAGGATTACCTCTCCACCAGAAACCTTGAATTCGGAAGGAACTTTCTCAACATTAAGAACTTTGATCTTTCCATCCACAACATAGGCTGACCACCTGCCAAATAATCAAAATTGTTAAGCATGCTGGTCTATGTAGTCATATCCTAATATAGTATAATACCATAATGATACCGAACCAGACAAGATACAATTATGAAGAAAGATGACCATAACTTTGTTCTTCCCTTGATTTAAAATTTTATAAACAAGGAAGCCAAATGTTTCCTTCTAAAGAAATGCCCTCAGTATAAATTTGTTTAGTCCTCGTGAGATAAGTTTCAATGAGCAAATGAAATATTTACTCCCAGAGGAGTTTCTTCTCAAACTTATCATATCCCCATCTAAATTTATCATTTTCTCATAAGAGTAATTTCAACTGACAAACAAGATATTTACTCCAATAGGAGGATCTTGTCAAATTTATCATGACATCGGTCAATTTGGGTAGGCTACAAAACATCACGGAATCGTCGAAGAGTAACAACGTTGAGAGCACAACGTAACTGTAATTCAGTAGAGAAGAATATCTTGCTCAAACACTATCCAATGTCATTTCAGCTTAATACCATATTAAACACACCAAAGTTCCATCCTAACAGTCATTTGAAAGCTTTTATCGTTCTATCAAGATCCTCATTATTCTATTAAAGTACATATAATCAGCAGGCAAGCAATGCTCTAATAATGATTCAGGTGATTAGTAACAAATCAACTATTTTAAACATTATATTAAAAACATATGCTGCTGACTATTATCAATATTGAGTATTCAAGTTTTAATATAGGACCGGAGATTCTTGATGAAAATACATGCCGCTCGAGGTCATGTTTTCTTTTCCCTGTACGTGTCCGTTAAAAGTTACTACTTTAGCTTAATAGTACGATACTTGTATGTACTAATGCAGGTTCTAGATAACTCTGGGCATAGCCAGCTGAACATTTCTGAACATGGAACTACGGTACCAAGCAACAACCACAACTGGACAGAAACACTCATAATTTCCAAATGGGGAAGAAAGGGACAACATTCTCCTGCCCATGCTGGGCATAGCCAGCTGAACATTTCTGAACATGGAACTACGGTACCAAGCAACAACCACAACTGGACAGAAACACTCATAATTTCCAAATGGGGAAGAAAGGGACAACATTCTCCTGCCCATGCTGCCTTTCTGGGCATCGATACAACCCCCATGGCCCAACTCCATCCCATCCTCTCTCCTCTATCAAATTCAATTCAAATTCAAATGTGAACCAATTCTGATTCGCACGCGCACGCGCACTTGAAAATTTACAATTAAAAATTAGATTCTCTCGACTCTGTCACACAAACAAATTTAATTTGATATTCACCACTTGAGATGCGACTAGTCTTAATTCCTACTGCATTCAATGATATCTGAGTGCTAATTTTTCATGCTGTATGAAAATATGATATTGTTGTTGGCTTCTTAGCCTGAAAGCTACATTTACCAGCTTTTTCTTCGTCTGGAGAGGAAGTTGCTTTAACAACTCATAAGTATGCAAGGACTATGATAGTCATTTCTAGCATATTAACTTGGTACTCTAATATACCTTGTAAAGAAGATCTTTTACCTTTTCCAATAGAATCTGCATCGTATGAAGAATTTTCCTGCGTACATAGTAATCAAACCTAGCTTCCATTGTTCTTTTAGGTCCATGTGTTACTCCCCAGGCACAAAAACTAATTTCAACTAATATAATATAATGCCTTTAAACCTTTAGAAAGTTTTTAGGCAACCAAAAATTTGGTAAGAAAACCAAAAAGAACAAGCACAACAATTTAATGTCATTGATTTTCCTGAAGTGATGAAAAATTTATAAAATTATAAGGAGATCGAGGTTGTATTCCATTATATGCATAACTAAAACAGGTAATGCATCAGAAATTGATGGCATAAATATGCAGTCTGTTTGTTTGTAATGGAATAGAGATGCATGCTCTGAACTTAGTGTCAAGAAACACACCAATTTCCAAAAGAAGAAATCAGATAACATAAAAGAAAAGGATAACTGATTTGTTACTGAGTGTACCTTTGAGAACGATGTCCAAGCAATGCAGCAGAAAGATCCAAATCTAATTCCATACTTTTGTGGAAGCTCCCATCAAAGTCACCATAAAACTCAATCTGAAAGGGTTAAGAGAATGTTATAGCATAACAAGTGATGCGTAAATTCATCGGGATATTGTGTTACAGGAACCATGCCTATTATGGCAGTTAATGAAGCTTTAAACATCTCTGTTCCCCCCCCCCCATCGTGCCCGGCCTATTATGGCAGTTAATGAAGCTTTAAACATCTCTGTTCCCCCCCCCCCATCGTGCCCGTGCCCGCGCCGGGGAAGGGGTGTTGGAGAGGGAACAAATAACCTTAATCTACAGAAGACACTGATTAAGCTGGAGCCTGCAAAAGTGCAAATAAGTTGCTACAAGTTTCAAATCCACCTTAGGTGATCATGATAACACATTTTTCCCATCCACTATAACAAGAGAATTCAAGATTTCTTTTTGTCATTTTAGGTTCATATGAAAGAATAGCACTAAGCCGTTGATATTTGCTTTAAATACCTGACACTATCTAAAATTCACCTGCAAATAAGTTGCTACAAGTTTCAAATCCACCTTAGGTGATAACGATAACACATTTTTTGTGTCCGCTATAACAGGAGAATTCAAGATTTCTTTTTGTCATTTTAGGCTCATATGAAAGAATAGCACTAAGCCATTGATATTTGCTTTACATACCTGACACTATCTAAATTCAAGTGTGATCAACATTCTGATTCACAAAGCATAGATAGGCATGGGTCACTTAAGATCTTCCCTTCAATTTATTGTTGGAGATAACTGGAAAGAAAATAAAACATCCCGCACTATTCTAAATTCAAAAAACTAGAAAACCTCATGTTTTTCAATTCGTTGGTCATAGAGCACATATAAATGAAAACCAAATATCTTCCTCCCTTGTAATGACAAATTCCATGTGACTTTTGTTCGTGCAAAATGCTTGCTTGAATCACCTTCAAGTTAAAACTCCTATGCTTCCAAGGCAGCTTCAATCCAACTTATGCACATATATGATATATTTCTATGTTGACTTGCATGATGGAAATAAATTGCATATACAGGGTTGGTGCCCAGCATAACAGAATCAAGCTTCTATAAAGTTACATACTTGTACTCAAGCCTAAAGTACAACGATAGTTTCACAATGATAATCTACATTTGTTCCTTTCGATAAATACTCTAAAAAGGGTAAATGTTGAAATGGCCAGTAATATTAAAGAGGATTGAACGATGACATAGCTATGACTAATTATAGATTACACAGGGATCAATGTTAAATGGGAAGGTACTCACCGTTTCCTTTGCTTGCAATTTTTCGGCCCAACCATTCATGACATATGGGTCATTCACGGCCACGCAGATCACAGAATCAATGCCCTTAGCTTTAAATTTGTCGATGTTCTTCTTGTAGCTAGGGACATGTTGCGTTGAGCAAACACCAGTGTAAGCTCCCTGGGAAATTTATTTATTCAGTTAGTAAATGCAGTGGCTGAGGCAAACCAATTTGGTTAACAGCATCTGACCAATAAGATACATTAGAAAGGTAGAAACAGCAAAAATCCAAAAAGTTGCTACCAGCTACGCAGGCTAAGATCCAGTTAAGAGAAAGATGAGAAGAAGAATGGGTAAAATATTGCGTTCAACTTTAATTTCAACTGTGAGTAAAGATATCAGATGCACTATACATTTGTCTGAATAAAACATACGTGATTTTAAAGCATTAGATCAATAAAAGGGTAAAATAAGATGATTAACAGAAAGATGGATTGCCGCCTTTATAGGATGTGAACTCTACATTTTTAACTACTCCCATTAAAAATATCAAAGCAAAAAATTAAAAATAAAATAAAATAAAATAAAGTAAAAGGCTCCAGTTACAGAGGAATCCACTAAAATACTACAGAAAGCATTTGGTAATCATGCTCATAGAATCACAGACTCTTTGTCCAAAATCACAATTTGTATAACTTATATCTGAAAGAACGAGAGAGGGTTTTATTTTTGGGACTCCGATGGAGATTCTTTTCAATTGTTGTATTCAGAGGAAAAAAACTCCTCTCTATTTATGGGCATTCCGACTCCACCTGCGTCCCCAAAAATCTGCCTCATATCTCTCTAACCACGTTCTCCGTAAGACCTGATCTCCAACGGAAAAAATCTCACAGAACGTGAGATATTCCAAACAACAGGGTCTGGTTCTTAACGGGTCGGGCAACAATTTGGCCCATGAGGCCAAAACCACTTACATCTCCCACTTGGCCAAAATGGCCAAATTCTTTCCAAGCTCACACTCCCACTATCCGTGAGATGTGACTCAAGATGTAATTCCATACTCCCATTATTCGTGAGATATATGCACTTTTCACTCTACGTGAATAAACCGTGTACAACCATTATCCATGATCGTCACCTTTCATTATTCATGAAAGTTTTCTTGACTTAGATATTTCTAAGTCCCATCAAACCAACATGTTTAATGAATGTACCTGCTGGGATACCCTTCGTCAAGGGATCAGCAATCATGTCACTAATAGAAATATAAATCACACTGACTTCTTCTTTCTCCACAATATCACGAATATAATGATATTGTATCTCAATATGTTTTCCTTTAGAACTGTTTGCACCACTGTTGATCAAGCTGATGGCTGCTTGATTCACAGTATATCTTAATTGGTCCATCCACCAAATTGAGATCCAAGTCCTTTAGGAACCGTCTTATCCAGACTGCATGAGTAGCGGTCATACTACATCCTATGTACTCAGCTTCTTGTGTGTATCTTGCCACACATCCCTGTTTCTTACTACCCAAGAAACAGCTGCACCACCAAAGATGAAATATCCGGAAGTGGACTTCCCGTCATCTTTGTCTCCTCCGAAATCAGCATCGGAATAACCAAGAACCTCAAGCGAGTCTGCTTGATAAACTAACTTATGGTGCACAGTACCTTTTAGGTATTTTAAAATCTTTTAACAGCCTTCCAATGTGCTGGACCAGGATTACTTTGATATCTACTAACCAGACTCACCGGATATATCAGGTCTGGTCTAGTACACAACATTACATACATCAAGCTTCCAACAACTTGTTCATACGGGACACCAAGCGGTTCCTACCCTTCTCCAGAACATTGTTCTTTACACAACCGCTTTCTCATAACCAAAGATGTTAGTGCAGGATTACAATTCTGCATCCCAAATCTTCTAAGTATCGTATGCAAATACATTTCTTGGTTTAAACTTAACATTCTAGACTTTCTATCCCTAAGAATCTGTACCAAGAACATAGGATGCATCTCCCATGTCCTTCACAAGGTTGCTGATAGCGGATCGCGGCGCGTCGCGGCGAGGTACCGCTAAGGCTATTGCACGCTATTGCGGCGAAGTAGCGGCAAATAGCGCACAGTCAAATAGCGGTCAAATATAAATATATTTAAATATTCTAAATAATAAACATGCTATATTTCTTCATTCATACAATAACTCAATAAGTTATAATGATTTCATATGTTGATTAGACAGGTTTTCTGGAATTTGGACCTAATGGAGTGACACTGTGACAGGAGTGTTCCACCAGAATGAGGAGAATTTTGATTTGAAATCTCAAGGGCACTGATCATTTCGGGTGCAGCTGCTGATTATGAAGATCAAGCCATTTATCACATACATAATTAGTTGTAAATTTATTGTATTATCAGTAAATAACAATTGATAAACTTGTTGTATGAATGAACTATGAAGAAATTCAAGAAATATAGCATCAGAAATCTTCACTTTGCAGTATCAAATATGACATGAATCTCGAATGCCTCTACTTACAGGTTAATCCAACTGAAATAGGTAGATTCCAAATAAAACAATATATTCATTCACTTTGCAGTATCAAATATTCATTCATGCAACGTGGAAACAAAATCTCAGAAGGCGCCGAGGAACTCTTCAATTTCACGAAGAAAAATGATCTTTAAATTTATGAAAGAAAGATTAACTAAGAAAATTTTATTGATGAAAACCAATACTTTTAGGCTTGCAACGTTCTTCTTAAATAGAAAACATAACCGACTCATAAAAGGATAGAATTTACTCAAAATAGAAAATCCCCATGACTACATAAAACGACTAACTAAAATTGACGAAACAAATCGGCGAAGTTTGAACAAAAAAGAACAAAAAAATCAAGAAGTAGCAGAAAAATAGAACGACGACTACCTGAGCTGGCTTAGGGCCATACTTGAGAAGAAATCCACGAAGCTCGCCGGCGATGAGGTTCGCCTGCGCGTTTCTGAGGGAAGAGGCAGAGGCGTTGAGCTTGCCGGAGCGACCGCAGACGAAGCCGGAGAACCAAGAGCTGGAGGTAGTCGACGAGTCGTCGCTGCTGCTGGTGAATGAGAGAGGCGAGGGGCGAGAGGCAAGAGGCGGGAGGGAGGCGGCTAGGGCTAGGGCACAGTTGGGTTTTGGGTTCGGGAATCACAGGCGAGAGGGTATAAATGAAATAGGTATGGGCGGGTTCGGGTTGAGTTGGGGAGATTTTCGTTTGGATCTGTAGCGGAGTTTAGCGCTATTAAGCGCTTTTTAACGCTAAAAAGCGCTATTACGCGCTATTCGAGCTGATAGCGGTTTTTTCCGCTTAACACCACCGCTAACCCCCAAAGCGTGGCGGAGAAGTCCCGCGACCGCGAATAGCGGCGCTATAGCGCCGCTATTCGCCGCTATTTACAACACTGGTCCTTCATCTCAAATTCACTACTAAGTGCTGACTTGATTCTATTCAGCACTTCTATGTCATTTCCAGCTAGCAAAATATCATCCACATACAATGATAATATTGTAAAATTGCTGTCACTCTTCAAGATATATACATAATTATCCAATTTATTTGCAACAAAACCAAGTTGGACAACAATATTGTGAAATTTGAGATATCACTGTCTAGATGACTGTTTTAAACCATATAAAGATTTTTTTTAATTTATATACTTTGTTTTCTTGTCCTTCAACCTGAAATCCCTCAGGTTAATTCATATATATTACTTCCTTTAACTCTCCGTTGAGGAATGTAGTCTTGACATCCATTTGAAAAAGTTCCAAGTCAAGATGTGCAACAATTGCTAAGATAATTCTAATAGAAGCAAACTTAGTCACTAGAGAATAAGTCTCCTAATAATCTATACCTACCTTCTAAGTAAAACCTTTAGCAACTAATCGGGCTTTAAATGTATCAATAGACCCATCAACCTGATATTTCTTCTTTAACACCCATTTACATCCTATGGACTTCTTATCTTCTGGTAAGTCACATAGCTCTCATACATTGTTTCTCTCTATTGAGTCAAACTCCCTTTTCATGGCTTCCAGCGATTATTCTGATTCATGTGTGTTCATAACATCCACATAATTCAAGGGATCAGCTTGCTCATCTATGTCAATATCTACCGAGAAATAGGATGGTTCACATGAATACAGATAATAATCATCCATCCATGCAGGTGTTGTTCTGGATCTTTTATTACCACTAAGGCTGACAGGTTGGACAAGTTCAGCTGGATGATTTACATAGGCATATTCTCATTTAAAGGCCCATCTTTCATTATTAGATGATATATTTCATCCATTATATCCAGGTTATCGTTGGAAACATCATCTAAATCTAGCAGAGGTGGTACTGCCTCTTGAACTTGTTCTCTTTCCTCTAAATTTTCTAAAAAATGGCATCTCTACTTTCAATGATCCTTTTATCTTCATGGAAGAATCTATACCCTTTAGGTTTTTCAGAATAACCTATAAATCTATACTTTAAAGTTTTGAGATCCAGCTTATCTCTAACCTGATATGGAATGAAAACATGTGCAACACAACCCTATTTTCTTAAGTGACTCAAATCGGGTTTGTGTCCATTCTAAATCCCATATGGTGTTGACTCGACTGTTTTTGTGGGAATTATTCAAAATATAATTCGTAGTTAGTACTGTTTCTCCCCAAAAATCCTTAGAGAGATCAGAATGTAACAACATACATCTCACTACATTCATCAATGTTCTATGTTTTCTTTCAACCACACCATTTTATTGTGACATGTAAGGCATAGTGGTATGTCTCTTAATATCATAATGAATGCAATAGTTTTTAAATTCCTTTATGAGTTGAATTCTCCACCTCTACCAGTTCTTAACACCTTAATATACCTCCAAGTTTTCTTTCAACTTCTGTCTTGTATCTTTTAAAACATTCAAACGCTTCTGATTTTCCGTTTAAAAGATACACAAAAGTATACTTAGAATAATCATTTATAAATGTTATAAAATATTTTTTATTACCTCGTGTCTTTACGCTTAACGGTCCACAAATGTCAAAATGAACTAACTCTAAAAGTTCACTTGCCCTCTGACCTTCAGGAAATAACTTTCTAGTCATTTTCCTTGTTAAACAATGTTCACAAGGTAATGTCCTTACACCTGTCAGATTTGGTAACAAATTCATTTTAATTATCTGATCTATCTTTCTATTACCAAGGTGTCCTAGTCTCATTTATCATAGATCAAAATTCGATAAAAGACGAGGAATAAAGCAAACCAAAATTCTTATTGTAAATTTTAGGTTTTACAACAGAAAGACAGAACAATCATGTTCGGGTACAAACTTGCCTATGACAAACACTTTCTTGTTTTTCCCAATAGAGACTATTATTGTAAAACCTAACTTTAAGGCCTTTCTTCAGGAGGGCTAGAACGGAGATCAGATTACGTCTTATGTCAGGTGCATAAAACACTTCTTTGAGAACCATGATGTTATCCCCAAGATCCAATCTGTATGAACCAATACCTTCAACATCTAGGTAGGTATTGTTCCCCATGTAAATCTTTTGATCTCCCTTCTTCAGCTCATTGAAATACATATTCCTTCCTTCGTCTTTGCAATATGTCGGGTTGCTCCCGAGTCAATCCACCAGCCACCAACGTCAGTAGTTGCAACATTACACTCAATGACGCCGATGAACTCCCGCTTATCGAATCCTCCTTGTTCTGGGCGTTTGGAACCGTCCTTGTTCTTTGTCTGTGGACAGTTGGCTTTGAAGTGACCGAACTTCCTACAGATGTAGCATGATCCAGGAGGTCCTTTCTTATTGTGAGCGCGTTGTTGGCCACGTCCTTTGAAGGAAGGCTTGACAGGTCCAAACTGATGACTTCCTTGTGCCTTGTGATACTGAGCTGCATTTGCTTCTTCTTGCAGCACAAGGTTCACATCTGAACTTTTTCGCCTAGCTAGTAAATCTTGTTCCATTACTAACTGGGTTGGCAAGTTAGTAGCACGTTTAATGGCTCCATTAAGCCTAAGTGTTGTGACGGCCATATCTAGTGATGGTGGCATACTATTCAAAATAGTTACCACCTATAATTTCTCAGGAATTTCAGATCCTACTAAAGCTAGGTCCTTAGCCATGACAATCATCTTGTTCACATGTTTGGTAACATTATCACCTTCTTGCATACGACATGAATTGAATCTATGCATTAAGAGCTGTATGTTCACCTCAAAAGTAGTGTCATACTTCTCCTTAACTGCAAGCCACATTTCCTTAGCCAATGGAGATTCTTTTCAATTGTTGTATTCAGAAGAGAAGAACTCCTCTCTATTTATGGGCGTTCCCACTCCACCTGCGTCCCCAAAAATCTGCCCCATATCTCTCTAACCACGTTCTCCGTAAGACCTGATCTCCAAAGGAATAAATCCCACAGAATGTGAGGTATTCCCAACAACCGGGTCTGGTTCTTAACGGGTCGGGTAACAATTTGGCCCATGAGGCCAAAACCACTTACAATATCACAAGGTTCGATTCAAAAATTTTCTGAGTTACTTTAATTCCTTGATCCTGTATTGTAAACAATACTCCACTGGAGTTTAAAAAAAAATTTGCACCAGGGTTCATCAAAGATTTAACTTTCCAGTACAAAGATCATGTTTTCCCTTCCTCTTGCCGTCTTAATCGATTATTCAATCATTTACCTACAGGGAAATTAAAAGAAAACCCTAATAAAAGGAAGCTAACCTACAGAAAAGAAAATAAATAAATTAGTAGATTAGTAAAATACTTACGGGCAACCCAAAGATGACGACTTTTTTCCCCTGAAAAAAAAATTAATAAGACGATCAATAACCACTCGTTTTTTTCCTATACAATTAAAAAAAGAAGAAATTTGAGGAGAAAATAAAAGACCTGGAAGATTTCTTTGAGAGGAGTGGTGGAAAATTTAGAGGAGACGCCTTCGTCCCACGTGCGAGCCTTCTGCAGCGA